CAAAATCCATTTAGTTATAATATGATCAGAAAAAAATAGTTTTCCAAATTTTCTAAAAATCACCCTTTTTAACACAATTTGACTCCTTATGCATTCCATTAAACACTAATATCATGTTTAAATATATAATTTATGTATTATTCCCTAAGATAATTTATATAAATTATAAAAGTTGCTGGAAAGTGGTGTGAAAGAATCTGAAAACGTTTTGCTGTCTTATATTGGCGTGTTCTTATTAACTATGTCTCAAGTGCACAGTTTATCAAACAAGAAGATTAACATTCGTCAACCCTTAAAATCTTATATGTTATCTTGCTGGTGCAAAATGGGTGAATCTTTAAGAACAGCTAGTATCTATATGACAAATGGTGTTTTCCCTAACTCAAACAATGTAGGGTTTATTATTCTACACATATTTCTAATGACTCTTAGATGTTTACGTTCTCTGAAGTATAATTGTGAAGGCTGTGTCCATCACAAGTAAGAGTGATTGAGAGTGAGTAAGAGTGACTGAAGGAGAGTTAGAGTGTCAGTGTGTGTAAGAGTGAGTGAGAGTGTAATTACCTAAGTGTAGTTACAGGATGAGAGCTACGCTCGTGGTGTCCCGTCTTCCCAGCACTCTTTGTCATATAACGCTTTGAAACTACTGACGGTCTTGGCCTCCACCACCTTCTCACTTAACTTGTTCCAACCGTCTACCACTCTATTTGCGAAGGTGAATTTTCTTATATTTCTTCGGCATCTGTGTTTAGCTAGTTTAAATCTATGACCTCTTTGTTCTTGAAGTGCCAGGTCTCAGGAAATCTTTCCTGTCGATTTTATCAATTCCTGTTACTATTTTGTACGTAGTGATCATATCACCTCTTTTTCTTGTCTTCTAGTTTTGGCATGTTTAATGCTTCTAACCTCTCCTCGTAGCTCTTGCCCTTCAGTTCTGGGAGCCACTTAGTAGCATGTCTTTGCACCTTTTCCAGTTTGTTGATGTGCTTCTTAAGATATGGGCACCACACAACAGCTGCATATTCTAGCTTTGGCCTAACAAAAGTCATGAACAATTTCTTTAGTATATCGCCATCCATGTATTTAAATGCAATTCTGAAGTTAGATAGCATAGCATAGGCTCCTTGCACAATATTCTTTATGTGGTCCTCAGGTGATAGTTTTCTATCTAGAACCACCCCTAGATCTCTTTCTTTATCAGAATTCTTTAAAGATTTCTCACATAACATATAGGTTGTGTGGGGTCTATGTTCTCCTATTCCACATTCCATAACATGACATTTATTAACATTAAATTCCATTTGCCAAGTGGTGCTCCATATACTTATTTTGTCCAGGTCTTCTTGAAGGGCATGACAATCATCTAAATTTCTTATCCTTCCTATTATCTTAGCATCATCAGCAAACATGTTCATATAATTCTGTATACCAACTGGTAGATCATTTATGTAGACAATAAACATCACTGGTGCAAGAACTGAACCCTGTGGTACTCCACTTGTGACATTTCTCCATTCCGATACATTGCCTCTGATTACTGCCCTCATTTTTCTATCAGTCAGAAAATTTTTCATCCATGATAGAAGCTTACCTGTCACCCATGCAATATTTTCCAGTTTCCAGAACAACCTCTTATGTGGAACTCTGTCGAAAGCCTTTTTTAGGTCCAGATAGATGCAATCAACCCAACCATCTCAGTAAGAATGAATGAGAGTGTGTAAGAGTAAGAATGAATGAGAGTGTGTAAGAGTGAGTAAGAGTGAGTGAGAGTAAGAGTGATTGAGAGTGAGTATGAGAGTGGGTAAGAGTGAGTAAGAGTGAGTAGGAATAAGTAAGAGTGAGTGAGAGTAGGAGGGAGTGAGAGTAAGAGTGACAGAGTAAGAGTGATTGAGAGTGAGTAAGAGTGATTCAGAGTAAGAGTGAGTAAGAGTGAGCGAGAGTGGGTAAGAGTGAGTAGAGTGACTGAGAGTAAGAGTGACTGAAGGTGAGTGAGAGTGCCAGAGAGTGTGTAAGTGTGAGTAAGAGTGAGTGAGTGAGAGTGAGTAAAAGTAAGAGTGAGAGTGAGTAAGAGTGAGTGAGAGTAAGAGTGACAGTGAGTAAGAGTGAGAGTAAGAGTGAGAGTAAGAGTGAGTAAGGGTGAGTATGAGAGTAAGAGCGATTGAGAGTTAGAGTGAGAGTAAGAGTGATTGGGAGTAGGAGTGAGAGTAAGAGTGATTGAGAGTAAGAGTGATTGAGAGTAAGAGTGAGAGTAAGAATGAGAGTAAGAGTGATTGAGAGTAAGAGTGATTGGGAGTAAGAGAGTAAGAGTGATTGAGAGTAAGAGTAATTGAGAGTGATTGAGAGTAAGAGTAATTGAGAGTGAGTGAGAGTAAGAGTGATTGAGAGTAAGAGTATGAGAGTAAGAGTGATTGAGAGTAAGAGTATGAGAGTAAGAGTGATTGAGAGTAAGAGTATGAGAGTAAGAGTGAGAGAGTGAGTATGAATGGGTAAGGGTGACAGAGTGAGTAAGAGTGACAGAGTAAGAGTGACAGAGTAAGAGTGAGAGTAAGAGTGAGTATGAGAGTGAGTAAGAATGAGTATGAGAGTGGGTAAGAGTGAGTAAGGATCACTGAGAGTAAGAGTGAGTAATAGTGCATAAAAGTGATTGAGAGTAAGAGTGATTATGAGAGTGAGTTAAGAGTGTGAGGTGTGAGAGGTAACTGGCCAGGGAGGCAGGATGTGTGGTCACAGATAGGCCTAGGCCTAGGCCTCGTGATCTCTAATGTTGGTTTTTATATATATGTTGGATTTGTTTTTCCTGTTTCAAATTATAATTATTTAGCAGGAATGTAATAAGATATTGCACAGTATTAATGTGACAATAATATATGCATTATTTCCTTGATAATCAAACTTGTTGTTCAAAGATAATATACAATCTTTGAAGGAAACTGAGCTGGCAACACTGGGCTGGTGGTGAGACACACACATGGTTAGTTGTGCTCAGACCTTCAGTGGTGAAGGGTGTGTCCCAGCTGGCCGCCACCAGCCGCCGCCACCCACCACCACCAGCCGCCACCCGCCACCCGCCACCACCAGCCGCCACCACCCATCACCGCCGCCACCACCCATCACTGCCGCCACCACCACCGCCGCCACTACCACCCACCACCACCGCCACCACCCACCACAGCCGCCACCACCACCAACCACCACCGCCACCACCAGCCGCCACCACCAGCCACCACCACCGCCACCAGCTGCCACCACCAACCGCCATCGTCACCAGCCGCTCTGCCGCCACCACCACCACCAGCCGCCATCACCGCCACCACCAGCCGCCACCACCACCGCCCGTTGCCACAGTCGCCACCGCCACCCGCCACCACCAGCCGCCACCAGCTGCCACCACCGCCCGCCATCAGCCGTCACCGCCCGTTGCCACAGTCGCCACTGCAAGCCGCCACCGCCAGCCGCCACCACCACCGCCACCCGCCACCACCCAACACAGCCTCCACCACCCATCACAGCCGCCGCCGCCCGCCACCACCCACCACTACCGCCCACCACCACCGCCAGTGTCCGACACAGCCGCCAGTGTCCGCCACCGCCGCCACTGCCACTGTCTGCCACCGCCACCACTGTCCCCCGCTGCCACTGTCCGCCACCGCCACTGTCCGCCACCGCCACCACTGTCCGCCCGCCGCCACTGTCCACCACCGCCGCCACTGTCCACCAGCGCCACTGTCCGCCACAGCCGCCACAGCCGCCACTCTCCGCCGTACAGCTTCCCCTCTCTCCGTTCCCCTCCTCTCTTCTTCTCTGTCTCACTCTCTTCTTGTTCTGTCTCTATTTTTCTTGTTCTCTCTTCTTTTCACACTCTTCTCTCTCCCTCTCTCTTCCTCTTCTCTCTCTCTTACATTACCTATCTGCATGTCTCTTCTTCTTCTCTCACTCTCTCCTCTTCTCTCTCTCACTCTCTCCTCTCTTCTCTCTCTCTATCTTCTCTCTCCTCTATCTTCTCTCTCTCTCTCTCTCTCTCTCTCTCTCTTGTCTTCTCTTCTCTTCTCTTCTCTTCTCTCTCTCTCTCTCTATATATATATATATATATATATATAGTTATATATATATATATATATATATATATATATATATATATATATATATATATATATAATAATTATATAATTATTATATTATAATAATATAATATATATATATATATATTATTTATATATACGTATATATATTATTTATATATATATATATATATATATATATATATTATTTATATATATCTTGAGGTTATCTTGAGATGATTTCGGGGCTTTTTTAGTGTCCCCGCGGCCCGGTCCTCGACCAGGCCTCCACCCCAAGGAAGCAGCCCGTGACAGCTGACTAACACCCAGGTACCTATTTTACTGCTAGGTAACAGGGGCATAGGGTGAAAGAAACGCTGCCCATTGTTTCTCGCCGGCGCCTGGGATCGAACCCAGGACCACAGGATCACAAGTCCAGCGTGCTGTCCGCTCGGCCGACCGGCTCCCTTATATATATATATATATATATATATATATATATATATATATATATATATTATATATATATATATATATATATATATATATATATATATATATATATATATATATATATATATATTTATATAGGGCATATGTTTTTGTATTTTTGCTGATTTGTTAGTAAATAATAAAAGAAATATAAATTATTTGATTTTTTTACCCTTAAATTGGTTTTAATATTTAAATTGAAAATAATAATATAATATAAAATAAAATATAATAAAAATAATAATATAATATAAAATAATATAATTTAATTTCAAGAAATTTAACTTTAAACACAAAGATGTGAAAAGGGTTCAGATTATAGGCTCAAACCTTTCATAAGAGATTCATATTGGTATATGAATGGATTATGAATGATTCGTGTTAGGATTGTAAAGTTGCCACAACATCTCAAATTAGTGTTAGATACGTAGGTTTTGGTTATAAGTTTTGGAAACCTATTTAAGTCCACACACAAATTCGTATCTGATACGATAAAACAAACGTTTCCAATCCTTTCAGATACTTTCCAGATATGTTGTGGCAACCTTAAATTGTTTGCTGGGTTGTATATAGTGATACAGAGCTGTCCAGGAACCTATGTTCTTTACCATAAATATAAAGAATTTAGACACAGAGCTGAATAGCAATATTTGTAAATTTGCTGATGATACAAAAATAAAGCAGGAAATAAATTCAAATACACACACAAAATCACCATAAGCTTATCTAGATGGCTTTCAAAACGGACAAAAGATTGGTAGATATAGTTTAACGATGAAAAATTTTGGCGCTCTGAGCATAAGTAATAATAACAATTACTAGATAGAAGATGAAAAATGTTGAAATTGCAAAGTTTGAATGTGTGAAGTGTGAATGTAAGATCTAGCAGTCATGATTACTAGGGATCATAGGCCACAAATTCAAGGCAAGTAGGATACTGGGACTTATTTCCGGAAGAGTTAATTTAAGACATTTAATATTATTCTTTAGCATTATCTTGCCACTGTCAGGCCTCATATAAATTATGCAGTTCAGTTTTAGTCTCCTTACTATAGAAAAGTCATAAATTCACTTAAATGCACAAAAAAAGGATCACAGAGTTAATCACATTAATTAAAAACCTCCCTTATGAAGAGAAATTAAAGAAGCTTAATTTACCATCTTTAGAAAGACAAAGAGTAAAGGGTGATACGACTGAAGTACAGCATATAAAAGGTCAAAAGATGATATAAACAAGATTTTAAATATATTAACACAAAACAGAACTTGAAACAATGGATACAATCTGGAGACATTTAAATTCAGTAAAGACCCAAGTAAATACTGTTTTGAAACAGTGTTGTTGATTATGAACAAATTACCAGTTAACATAATAAACATGGGATAAATGGATTGCTTCAAGCTCAGGTTAGACATCCATGTGAGTTTGGGTCAAAATAAATAGGAGCTGCTTCGTATGGGCCAATAGGCCTTTTGTCATTACCTTTATTCTTATACTGGGATACTAGAACTTGGTATGTTAACACTGGGAAAACTACAGCTTCTCTTATTTCTATCTTTTCTCTCCTTCATCAAAATACATAGTTTGTTTTGCTTTACCTGCACTTTATGGGCTGGTTTACTCAGTTGTGGGGTTGTTCTTAGATACCCATGCTCCCCTCTTCTCTATGAGTACATCCTACCCAGGTCCTGGTGCTCAGTAGGCCTGAGCAAGTCCAGAAGCCTAGTACTTTTGTGCATCTCTGTGGTACCAGAACAAATGCGAAGGGGAGCTAATAAGGGTCAGCCAGAAAGTTCTTTAGACATACTGAGCTCAGTGATATTTAATTCATGTATGAATTCGCTCATGTTTTACTACATCTGATTTTTGTGTAAAGGCTTTTAGGCATACTGAGCATGAATATGGTTTCTCCCCTGTATGTACCAATAAATGCCTTGCTAGACATGATTTTTGTGTAAAACCTTTTGGACACACAGAGCATGAATATGGCTTCTCCCCTGTGTGAACTCTTATGTGTTTGACTAGATCTGGCTTTTGTGAAAAATATTTTAGACACTCCGAACAGCGAAAAGGTTTCTCTCCTGTATGGATTCTCATATGCTGAATTAGATGTGCATTTCTTGAAAATTCTTTTTGACACTCTGAACACTTATATGGTTTCTCTCCTGTATGAATTCTCATATGCTGTACTAAAGCTGTTTTATGTGGAAAGCCTTTTAGACATTCTGAACACCGATATGGCCTTTCACCAGAATGAATTCTCATGTGTTTTACTAGAGATGACTGCACTGAAAAACCTTTTGAGCACTCTAAGCATTGATATGGTTTCTCACCTGTATGAATTCTAATATGTTTTATTAGAGATGCTTTCTCAGAAAACTTTTTAGGACATTCTAAGCATTGATAGGGTTTCTCTCCAGTATGAATTTTTGTATGTTTTACTAGAGCTGATTTATCTGTAAATTTTCTTTGACATACTGGGCACTGATATGGTTTCTCTCCTGAATGAGCTTTCTTATGCCTTACAAGAGTTGATTTTTGTGAGAAGTCTTTTAGACACTCTGAACATTGAAACGGTTTCTCTCTTGTATGAACTCTTGTGTGTTTTATTAGTTGTGAATTTCGTGGAAAACCTTTTAGACATACTAAACACCGATACTTCTGTCTCCTGTGGCCTTTTTTATGTTCTTTTAGAGCAGATTTATGTGAAAAGTAATTCAGACACACAGAACATTGATATGGCTTTTCTCCTGAATGAACTCTCATTGTACTATATTTTGATTAGCTTTACTGTTTTTTTAACACATTAAACACTGATTTTACTTGATGAGCATTAAGGATGAACTGAAATATTTTTGCCTCTATGTCTAGTGGATGGATTTGGTGTTTATTTGACTAATATGACTTCTCTCTTTCATTAAGCACAGTACCTTCTTTGACAAAATTTTGTTTGTTTGTTTCATTTTTTGTTTTAGAAACTAAACACCTGAATGTCTTATAAGATGAGATCCTCTGGGAAGATACACTTAATACTAATAGTTTTTTCCAACAAAAACCTTTTTCACACATTCCCTTTTTACTACAGTTCATTTCAAAGCCTAACCATACTGGTTTTCCCTCGGAACACAACTTGCCTAATTATTTATATCCACAATGATTGCACAAATGGAGCAAATGGGCAAATGGAGTGAAGGAACGTTGAACAGATTGTCCTGCCCCTTTCCAGGATTTGAACTAGGAGGCTCTCACATGTAAAGATAGTTTACTGACCACTACACCATACTCTTACATGCTACTTGAATACATTTTGTATTGTCTTACTGCCACATTGAACACAAGTGGTGATACTTGTGTGGGTGACAAGTGGTGACACTTACAGCCACAATGAATTCAAGTGGAACACAAGTGATCCAGATCCACAAGTGGATATGGATTCACTTTTATACAAGCTTTTCTACTTATGAATTTCTCTTAAGCACTAAACATATACAGAGATTCATATAAATTTTATGTCAATACAGCACAGTCTTTAAACTTTGAAAGTATTCAGTCCATTATCTATTTTACTCCATTACAGTAACAAGTGTGAAAAGTGTACGGGATTTAAGTAGTGAACTTAACTGAATAGAATCAGTATATTTATTAGTAAATTATTAACATTTTATCCATAACAATCTGCTAGAATTACTTTAATCCTAGTCTATGTTGGGTCAAGACACTGTTTTAGCTTATTTGCTGGAGTGCAGTGGTACTTGTCCTCCAAGATGCTGTGGAATGTGGAAAATATTGTGAATAGAAATATGCCATAAATAGAGTTGCTTATTTGACTAAAGTTTCCTTATAAAATAAAATATGTACAGTGGAACTTTGATGACGTCAAATTCGTTGTAAAATCTGAATTGGTGTACGATGGTTTACTTGGAAGACGAAGTCTGTTCATACACGTATGTGTCGAACAAGCGCATGGTGATGGGGGCGCGGGGCAAGGCACTTTCGGTTTGCTTACAAGTCTATTCTGCATAGTGATGACCGCAGCCGTACTTGAATTCTTTGTGAAGAATGTCATTGTTTGCCTGCTTTTTTGCTTTTTTTAACACTATCGGTAACTTTGGACCGGACTCGCGTCCATTATTTTTCTCCTGAGTCCTAACTTTGGACCAGACTTGCGTCCACTACAAAAAATATTTGTATAAAATTCATTTTTTATCCAATCGACCTCGGAATAGTATCAAAATAAGCGCCTTTAGAATGCGCATAATTTGATACCAAAATGAAAGATGTAACATGAAACTTGATGTCTGAACACTTATATGATTATAAATAGGCTTTTGGTCAAAATTTTAAAATATTTGTTAAAATTCTATTTATGCTATTATGTTGGGACTAGTTTTAAAATGCGCGCCTTTACATCGCGGACAATTTGATACCAAAATGAAAGATGTAACACAAAAATTTATGTCAGAACACTGGAAAGATGATGTGATGATGAGCTTCCAGAATTAAAATATTTGTTAAAATTCCAGTTATTGCTCTATTATTATGAGACTAGTTTTAAAATATGCGCCTTTTTATTGCGAACAATTTGATACCAAAATGAAAGACGTAATACGAAAATTGATGTTATCAAACTGAACGAGTATACACATTAGGTTGCAGTGTACAAATTGGTGCTCGTTCACGGGTAACTTTAGGCTTTTTTGCGGGGAGGCACTCCAAACTTTTGTACATTATATTCATAGACATCTGTAGGGAATTTAATTGCGAGCACAATGATACCAAAACAAGCAACATAGCACGAGAATTAAGGTGAGAAAAATGGAACGAGTATGCACATTTTACTGATTTTGAGCATTCACGGGTAACTTTTGCCGACTTTAGGCTTTGCTGTTGGGAGTCATGCCAGGCTTTTTGACATTATATTTATACACACCTGCAGGGAATTTAATTGCGAACACAATGATACCAAAACGAGCGATGTAGTACGAGAATTAAGGTGAGAAAGCTGAAACGAGTATACACATTTAGGTGTCACCGCGCGCTTGCCCGCACGCTCGCCCGCACGTCGGGTGCATGACCCCTAAGTTGAGCGCGCGCCTGCCTGGTGACGGATAGTGTTAACATAAAAGTTCTTATTATATATATCATGCCATGGGTCCCAAGAAAGTCAGTGGTAAAGTTCAACCTAAGAAAATAGTTGAGAATGACAATAAAGGAAAAACAAGAGATTATTCATAGTGAGAATGTGATGTCTCACTACAGACAAGTGTTAAAACATAGGGAAAAATAAGTGTCTATAGACAGATTCTCAGTAAGACAAACAAGCAGTGAGCCAAAACCAGGTCCTAGTGGTATGGCTGCAGAATGTAGGAAAGAGAGTACCCGAGAAATGTCATCACTGCTGTTATAATGGAAGGGGACTCCCCTTCCAAACACTAACACTTCTCCTCCCCCCCCACCCCTTTCTCACCATCTTCCATATGCCAGCAAGAGTCCTCATTCAAGGTAAGATATACAGACAGTACTGTATTGTAGCTAGTACAAAATGAGTTATTCGGAATAAAATGTATTTTTAAGTTAATAATTATGGGGGTGTGAAACGGATTAATTAAATTTACATTATTTCTTATAGGAAAATTAATTTTGGTTGCAGAATTTTTAGTTGATGACATGTCTTTGGGAACAGATTATGATCGTAAATGAAGGTACCACTGAATAAACATATTTTCTGTTAAAGTCTTCGGAAACATTGAGAACTGAAGACAGTTTTCTTCTGGAGAAACTTACATACGATTCACTTTGTGTGTATTATACCTTAATAAACCTATTTCAATTTCGATATACAAGATATCACATCAGTTTTCATGAATGATCTTTAAGAACAAATACTGTATTGAAATGAGCTTCCTATGGCAATTCATTTATATTATACTAGTGAACATATTTTATTAATTAACCCCTTAACTGCTCGGCTTCCAAATATGACACCCCTCTATGCGCAGGAAATAAATTATCAGGATTTTTTTTTTTTTTTTTTTTAGTGTCAAAAACCCTTCCTTCAGTATGGGTATGTAAAAAAAAATTCTAAATTGTACTTACTTTGGCTGCTATGGGGTCCGTAAGTTGGCGCTTGATGTCATCATTCCCCGTTTGCCTGTGACCTACGCTCCCGGGGCCAGAAGGGCGCCCGGGGCGGGGCGCGCGAGTTGCTGCGAATATATTTGTTCATTTTTTGTGCACAGTTCCATATACATTGTATTTGTTTTTACATACTACTCCTATATATAATGAACACGTACACTATATTATGGCAGTAAAACATCCGTACTGTCGGAAGACACTGTTACGTGCATGACACTTGTGTACACATATGTTGCACATATTTACCATGTATCATGCTAATTTATGTATATATACAATCTATTTACACACTATGCACTGTCACACACTATATACATTCACCATCAACACATTCAGAACACAGCGAGTGTAAGCTGCCACACCCAGCCAGCCCTCCCTCACTCCTCCAAAATTGTATTCGCAAACATTGCTCCTCCCATCATACAGTTATTCACACCAATGTTTCATGTTCATTTATGTATATTTACAACATATGCACACACTATATACATTCACCATCAACACATTCAGAACACCGCGAGTGTGAGCAGTCACACCCAGCCAACCCTCCCTCACTCCAACATCTTACTCGCCAACATTGCTCCTCCCACCATACTGTTATTGTTTTTATTACACTATTTACACATGTTATATATACCTATCTACATGTTTTATTTACCAGAACTATGCAAGTAAGCCGGTATTGTGTCCAAACAGTACAGTGGCCATCATACACTGCATGAGAAATCACACAGCAGACGGCGCTATGATTATGATGTCACATCCCTCACCAAAATAGCTCCTCTCAACATACTCCGGTTGTTGTTATTACACTATATACACACACACTGTATATACCCATGTACATATGTGTTCCCCATAGCGAACCACTAAGCTAGTATGGTGAGCAAAACAAGAGTGGCTGCCACACACAGTGAGGCTACCTCAATTCTCTCCCTTCCTCACCAAAATTTCTCCTTCCACAATACTACACACAATGCTAATTATAACCACTTCTGCTATTATCACAATCCTGGTCACTAATTCCTGTAAATGAATAATTGACCACAAGTTTATTTTGAAAAGGAACCTAAGAAGTCGTTTGAAGATTAGGAACCTAAGAAGTCGTTTGAAGATTCCTAGATGGACGAAATAATGCTGTGGTGCTGTGGCTAGCGCTGTGAACATAGTGAACAGCATTGAATCACTGATATTTGAACATTGTACCCAGTCATTATCACACTCAGGCTCTTCTAATAATACTATTATGGCTAAATAATACAAGTTATATATATATATATTTTGATATTATTAGGCGATGCTGTGGTCACACGCTGAACAGCAGTGCTATGCGCTCATGCTGCATGCGCCGGCCTTGGTTGCTCACTCACTACTGAGGCTCTCACACCTGGGAATGTGGACCACGATTTTTTTAACGATGGTGTCTGTTGTAAGTAGCGCACCCCAGATGTGGGCCTGCAGGCAAGTTCCGCAGGTAAAGGATTAAATGCTTGTTGTATTAGTATGTACAGTAGCATCTTTGTTTATGAATTTAATCTGTTACAAAAGACAGTTCGTACTCCAAAAATTTGCAAACCAAAACGAATTTTCCCTTAAGAAATAATGTAAATTGAATTAATCCATTCCACACACCCAAAAAATTCACTTAAAAACACATTTTATACAGAATACTACTCAAAATTTTTACTATGCCTTACCTTTATTGAGAACTCTTGCTGGCGTATGGAAGACGGTGGGGAAGGAGGAGAGGGGGAGGAAGAGAGGTGTTTGGAAGGGGAGTCCTCTTCCATTATAACATCAGGCAGTGATGACATTTCTGGGGTACTCTCTCTTTCCTACTTTTGCAGGCATACAACTAGGACCTGGTTGTGGCTCACTGCTTGTCTGTCTTACTAAGAATATGTCATTAGACACTGATTTTTCCCTAAGTTTTAACACTTGTCTAAAGCAAGACATCACATTGTCATTAAAAACGTTAACTCAACGGCCCGCTACAGCTTTATCCGGGTGAGACTTTTCAGCAAAACTTTACAGTTCTTCCCATACTGCACACATTTTCTTAATGAGGAAGGGACCACCTCCACTGGCTCTGCTCACAACTATTTTCTTAGGTTGAACTATACCACTGACTTTCTTTGGACCCATTGCATGATATGTAATAAGAAGTTTTATTTTCAGAAACCATAAAAGCAGAAAAATAATAGAATTCTTCATAAGGAATTCAAGCTCGGTTGTCATTAAGTGGGATACACTGGTAAACTTGCCCCGTGCCTCGCCCCGCATCCAGCAGCACCACACGCTTGTCGACCCCATACATGTATCAACAAAATTCTAAATCTGAGGCAAACCTCGAATACTGAGTCGCATTTTCCAAGGAAATTGACTTCATATACCAAAAAATTTATAAAGAGGGGCATTTGTCAACCGAGGTTCCACTGTACATCAAAAAACCAGCGTTGAAAGTAATGAAACGCCATTTTCTGGGTGAGACCCGGAGGCTCCCCCTGAGCTTTACCAGGCTGATATGCTAATGTCAGACTTTGGCATCAGTCATGTGTATGGAGTTCTAGGGCCTACCGGGGACCACGGCCAGAACCTGGCCCCCTCAGAGAGGTAAGGGGAGCAATGG